CGACTCAATGAGAAGACCACCACTGACGCCTACCCGATGCCCAGGGTAGACGAACTGCTAGATCGCATAGTCAGGGGATGCTATCTCACTACCATAGACCTATGTAAAGGCTACTGGCAAATTCCCCTGGTCGAGGATGCTATCCCCAAGTCGGCATTTGTTACCCCGTTTTGCTTATACCAGTTTAATGTCATGCCATTCGGGATGAAAAATGCTCCGGCTACCTTCCAATGTATGGTGGATAGACTCCTCGATGGCTTCCAGGATTTTACGTGTGCATACCTGGATGACATTGCAATCTGCAGTGGATCTTGGGAAGAGCATTTGGTTCAGATAGGGGCAGTGATGGACAAGATTCGGGCTGCTGGCCTGACCTTGAAACCAGACAAGTGCTATCTAGGTATGGCTGAAGTGCAGTACGTGGGGTGTGGGAGCCAGAGACCAGAGCCAGCCAAGGTAGAGGCGGTGGCTAACTAGCCCACAGCCCACACTAAGACCCAGGTACTAGCCTTCCTGGGGACTGAAGGGTACTATAGACATTTTGTCTCTGACTATAGTGCTATAGCCAAGCCCCTGTCTGACCTGACGAAGAAGAATTTACCTAAGCAGGTTCTGTGGTCTCCAGATTGTGAAGCCGCATTTCAAGCACTCAAACACGTACGAATGCCCAGCGATGTTCATCAAAGATTTCATGGAACTAAAAACGGACACTATTTCTCACGAACACTGCTGAAGCCACCGACCTCCCTTCTTCTGTTCATCCTGCATACGAACGCTGGCCCGTTCGGTACTTTTCTGCACGAATGGACTTACCCAGATAGCTATGCCATGGAGCCCATTCGTATAACGAAAGACTATGTGAAAGACTTTGGCTCCATGTTTGTATATGATCTGAGCGCCAATCGGTAATAATGTGTGCTCAGATCTTAGCTATCTGGGGATATGTTGAACATGCCTATTTCATTCGGTGGTTTTGGTATTATATATTTTAATGTATTTTTATTATGCTTGGTAAAATGGAGTTTACCCTCTGTCCTCGGAGATAATTGAGTTACTTCCCAATTATCTCCAGGATAGAGAGGAGGGTCCCAGATTGTGTAAATGGGAGTGTTTCTACCTATAATCCTGTGATTGGTCAATGCTACATTTTGTCCCAGTTTTCCACCAGGTCCCCAAGGGGAGTGTGCACCTGGTGGAAGACCTGCATTAAAACCAGGCAGGTAGCCCACATTAAGTCTGACCCTTAATGTGAAACACGTTAATGGTTTTAAATTGTGGATTTTAACAATAAAAGTTTTTTAGTTACGTTTTCCACATGACAAATCTTCATTTTATTGTATTTTAAATGCACCTTTTATTTTTACTTCTCCTGGCATTTTTATTGTATCCTGACTCAAGAAATCCTAGGTGGGGATCATTCCACTAGCACTGTATTGATAGAGCAGTACTCTCTGCTCTATTCTATTGAGTATATTTTATTTATATCTATTTTATTTTTTACAAACTGAGAGCACTATTGCTGTTTTTTATATATTGTGGAGCACTAGCGGACAAACCTCTACAGTATATCCCTTTGTCTCGTACTTGGGGGGATTTATTCATATGGATTTACTGTTCGGCTGTTTGGAGTGGACATTGTTCGTATGATTCATGTTCGATTGGTTGGAGTGTTTGTTAGCTGCCTTCACATTCGGGAAGGGAACATCCTAAATGGCATTAACCCCTTGTATACCTGGAGGTGCCGTTACAATGGATACTTAAATCATTCTGTATCCAAACATTTTATTAATTTTGCCTAAATGCATGGGAACCAAAAAATGCACCTTACCCTGGAGAGGGGCGGGCAATATAAAAAATGTTTTAGGTAAAACCGAAATGGAATGGGTCTATAAGCTACAGTCCCTCATACCCCATGGTTTAAATGCAGATTTTGATCTTCATATTTTTTTTATAATTCTGCATAAAAAAAAAATGTTTTTATAACTATGCATACCACCAATATTAATTCACATTTTTATTATGGAACTCCTTTATTATTTTAATATGCATACTTTTAATTATTTAATTTTATATTTATTTTTATATGTGGATCCATTTTGAACAGCATCTAATGCCTCACTAATGATGATTTTATGTTTATGTTTTTTTATTTCTTCTTTTTATTTATACCAATAGGTTGCTGTATTTATGTAAGTTTATTGTGCACTTCCATGTATTCTCTATATTATGTTTACAAGCTGCTATGCCTATTTTGAGGTTAACCCATATACTTTCCTATTTCTAGTATGGGTCTTTTGCAAATGCATATTTATATAAGGCAATAACTAAAGCCCCTACTTGTATTTCACTCCTCCCCCGACGGCACGAATTTCAGTGACGTCGGCTAGGTAGTAGCTTTTCTTTTTTCCCTTTCCCTCCCATTACAGCTCCTCCCCTCTTGGGAGCAGCTAGCTATTATTAGCAAGAGCGAGCCGCTCACCGCCCAGACGATGACCGGCATGACTACACTACCAATGGAGCATTGCTCCAATCATGCCAGTCACATGACGTTCCATTAGGAGCAGCTTGTTATCATAGCAACAAGCAAGCCGCTCCCTGCCCTCTTCTCTTCACTCACGATGACCGGCAAAACTACATGACCCATGCAGCTTAGCTCCAAGTATTGCCGGTCATGTGACGTTTTATTTTTAATATCACACATATCTTTTAATAAAAGCCTAGTTTTTAACATATAATTATACACAGTCCCTATCAGCTTATTTTATTGAAGTGTATAAATATTACTTGATTTAATTGTTTTATATTTTTTTTAAATATGTGTTTTCTATTGGTTGATCCGTTTTTTGGCGCCAATTTCGACTGTCACATACCCTTATAAATACTCTTTCATGCCAGGTATATTGCTATGCTACCATTTTGATAAAGCCTTAAGGGTGAAACGCGTTAATGGTTTTAAATTGTGGATTTTAACAATAAAAGTTTTTTGGTTACCTTTTCCACATGACCAATCTTCATTTTATTGTATTTTAAATGCACCTTTTATTTTTACTTCTCCTGGCATTTTTATTGTATCCTGACTCAAGAAATCCTAGGTGGGGATCATTCCACTAGCGCTGTTCGATTGAGTCTATATTATTTATATCTATTTTATTTTTTACAAACTGAGAGCACTATTGCTGTTTTTTATATATTGTGGAGCACAACTTAACCAAGGCCGCACTATCAGACAAAACTCTACAGTATATCCCTTAGCTGGGATTATAACTCTAAACGCCCTTCAACCTAGAGCTGGCCATAGCTCCTTCAAATGTGAGTGTATTATTTCTCTTTTTTCATTTTATCCTCGGATCTACAATCCTTTACTATTGGCAGTCTGTTGTGCTTTTATTCTTGTCTTCAAATACGGATCATCTACAACCCAGACGGACCAACTCCCGAGGACTGTACCTATACTCTATCCAGTTATATTAGTGAGACGTTTTCTTCTATTATAGTTTTTATTATATTGAACATTTTATCTCCTGGATGGACTTTCTTTTACCTTTTCTCTGTTGTTATAAGTGAGACTTTTTACCATTTATATAGGCTTTTGTCTATTCATTTAGACCATTTGGTCTGTTTTTGATTGTTATAGACTACTGCTTTTAGCGCAGCCCTTACCCCCTTTACTACGTGCATCTCACGATGGTTAATGCATATGCACGGTACCAACGGACGCGCGTCGTTACCTATGACGTTATGTTCCGAGTGGATCGCGCATGCGCGGACATCGTTCAAAGCGTGAAGATTGGCGTTTAAAAGGAGGAAGACAGCAACAGAAGACAGAAGCTCCTGAGGAAGTTGGTTCCCCGACGAAACGCATAGAGCTCAGCTGTACTTCAACCCTATAAATTTGGTATTAGCAGTTTGAGTTCTGTATATATGCACTTTATTTGTTTGGCACTTTATTTTGAACTATTGGAGGACTATTAACAAAAAATTTTGTATAGCTAGTTGTGCCTCCATTCCTTGATGCAAAGGGATAGTAAATATCAGTGGCAGATTGGTTACTTGAAAATACTTCCCTGGTTTGCATAGTGCACTTTATTTTACCTTATCTTCTGCTTACCATAAGAGTCTGTTCTTAAGCCATTTAAGGCTGTATTTATGTTTCTTGGATTTTTTTTGTCTTTTTTGGCACTTTATGATTGACATTTCTTTATTTTTAATATATAAATCTTTGCCTTCTGGCTATAATTGTCTTGAACCAATTAATATATTTAAGACAAGCTGGTATATTCAGTATACACAATGACTGTGGTGCCCTGAATTCAGTTATTGGTTCACCTTTAACAGTGTTGGTTATTTTTATTTATTGGAAGTGTCTTTTAAACAGTGGCTTGCCCGCATACTGTGTGTTTTTGCTTCTCCTATCTACCTGATTTGTTTTTTCTTGTTTGATGTGTACTGTAGTCATTGCTGCTGCCCATTTGTGATGGGAGGGAGCGCAGGACTTCTCTTTTTGTATTTGTATCCACTTTTTGTATCACAGAGCTTTGTTCCAATGCTGCTGCCCATCCCATGTGTTCCCTTATTAAGGGTTAATAAATATATAGGGGTGTATATAAAAATACCCTCTTAGGTCTCATTAGAGATATCTTTGGCAGAGGCTCAAGGAAGCAAGGTGAATGGCTAGAGTTAGAAACCACCTAGGAGGTTTGCCTTGACGTTGTCAGGCAGGCATTCTCTCCAATGGCCATTGGAGTAACTAAATGACCTCCATTTGTCTAAATATTCATAGGGATTAGGGAGAGAGCACAGGGAACTTTTTCTTTGGTTTTTACTATATATTGGGGCTGTGTACTGTAGTCATTACTGCTGCCCAGTAGTGATGGGAGTGAGCACAGGACTTCTCTTTTTCTATTTGATTGGAATATTTCACAAAATTGGTATATTCATTATAGTCTCAGCTGCATTGTATGCCCAAAGAAGAAAAAAAAAATAGAAAATTAAAAGAAAACATAACTTTTGCTTTAAGTTTGTATTAACATGGGGGTTGGGGAAACTAGCCTTTCTCTTGTAATGTCCAAGGTTAGTGTCCTGGGATAAGAATAAAGGACCCCGGGGGATAATTAGCTTAACCTAATTTACATTCCTAAGTCAGAACTCTGGTCTCCTATCCCAGTTCATATTCTTACTGGTATAAATAATTTGTAAATACATGTCATGTGTGTGCTGTGGTTTTTTTTAATAAAAGCTGAAACTCTGAAATAGTGATCCTACAAGTTACCAGTAATGTATCTTGTCTCTTTGCTGAGGTCTTGGGTGGAATCATGCAAATTTAAGTCATGCTAAGAAACCATATTCATTGAAGTGTATTACCAGTGGAACAGGCTAGTTAGTATACTTTGTAACAGCTAGAACACACAACCACAATGTATCCTGGGTTGTATACTGGGTTGCAACCAAGTGGAGCAGAGTTAGCAGTGCAGGTTAGGCACCTATGGACGATAGCATGGGGGTGCCATAATACCAATGTATCATATGTACATTGACTGCTACTATCAAAGTTACTATTTATTGTGTGAGCGTGAGAAATTTTTTTAGAATACAAGACATTTTATTCTTATGTTAATCCATACATGCATTATAAACTCATTTCACCTGTGTGAGTTACTGGCAAAACATTCCCCACATTTACTATATGAGAGAGGCTTCTCTCCTGTGTGACTTCTCTGATGTCTAACAAGACTTCAGCAATCCCTAAAACATTTTTCACAGTCAGAACATGAGCATGGTTTCTCTCCTGTGTGAGTTCTCTGTTGTCTAACAAGACTTGAGTGAGCCCTAAAACAGGTTCGATATTCAGATCATGAGAATGGTTTCTCTCCTGTGAGTTCTCTGATGGCTAACAAGACTTGAGTGACCCCTAAAACATTTTTTACATTCAGAACAGGAGAATGGTTTCTCTCCCGTGTGAGTTCTCTGATGACTGGCAAGTTCTGAATGCTGCCTAAAACATTTTCCACATTCAGAACATGAGAATGGTTTCTCTCCTGTGTGAGTTCTTTGATGACGGAGAAGTTCTGCTTTGGTGAGAAAACATTTTCCACATTCAGAACATGAGAATGGTTTCTCTCCTGTGTGAGTTCTCTGATGGCGGACAATCTCTGCTTTGCTGATGAAGCATTTTCCACATTCAGAACATGAGAATGGTTTCTCTCCTGTGTGAATTCTCTGATGGCGGACAATCTCTGCTTTGGTGATGAAGCCTTTTCCACATTCAGAACATGAGAATGGTTTCTCTCCTGTGTGAGTTCTCTGATGACGGACAAGATCTGCTTTGGTGATGAAGCCTTTTCCGCATTCAGAACATGAGAATGGTTTCTCTCCTGTGTGAGTTGTCTGATGACGGACAAGATCTGCATTTGTGACAAAACATTTTTCACATTCAGAACATGAGAATGGTTTCGCACCTGTGTGAGTTATGTGATGACTGAGAAGTTTTGAATGCCGCCCAAAACATTTTCCACATTCAGAACATGAGAATGGTTTCTCTCCTGTGTGAGTTCTCAGATGACGGAGAAGTTCTGCTTTGGTGACAAAACATTTATCACATTCAGAACATGAGAATGGTTTCTCTCCTGTGTGAGTGCTCAGATGACGGACAAGCGCTGAATTTTGGACAAAACATTTTCCACATTCAGCACATGAGAATGGTTTCTCTCCTGTGTGAATTCTCTGATGACGGACAAGATCTGCTTTGGCGATGAAGCCTTTTCCACATTCTGAACATAATAATGGTTTCTCTCCCGTGTGAGTTCTCTGATGACGGACAATCTCTGCTTTAGTGATAAAGCCTTTTCCACATTCAGAACATGAGAATGGTTTTTCTCCTGTGTGAGTTCTCTGGTGACGGACAAGATCTGCTTTGGTAATGAAGCCTTTTCCGCATTCAGAACATGAGAATGGTTTTTCTCCTGTGTGAGTTATGTAATGACTGACAAGTTTTGAATGTCGCCCAAAACATTTTCCACATACAGAACAAGAGAATGGTTTCTCTCCTGTGTGAGTTATTTGATGACGGAGAAGGTCGGCTGTGGTTACAAAACATTTTCCACATACAGAACACGAGAATGGTTTCTCTCCTGTGTGAGTTCTTTGATGACGGAAAAGTTCTGCTTTGGTTACAAAACATTTTCCACATTCAGAACACGAGAATGGTTTCTCTCCTGTGTGAGTTCTCTGATGACGGACAATGTGGTCTTTGGTAATGAAACATTTTCCACATTCAGAACATGAGAATGGTTTCTCTCCTGTGTGAGTTCTCTGATGTCTAACAAGATTTGCATGCTTACTAAAACAATTTCCACATTCTGAACATGAGAAAGGTTTGGGGTTTATGTTTACTGTATCCATTGAGAACATATAGGTATCTGAGAAAACGCTTGATTTATTAGAGTTGGACTCCGTGCTTCTGTTATTAAAAGATTTCTTCATAGC